GTATAAACAATAATTTCCTTAATAAAAATTGATTTGTTTAATTACGCGTAATTAAGAAATTAGTATTAAGTGCCGTGCTACATAATGGTGTGATTCTCCCTAATGGAAAAAAATGCACTAAACTCCTTCGCCATAATGTTGTGGACGCATTAATATATATATCAAGCCCTGAAACAAACAAATATAGCAATAGTAATAATATGTTCAAACTGAGACCAATAACAAATAAAAATAAATACATTATTAGTCATAGCATGAATAAAACAACTATAACAGACATTTGACCATTACAGTCATTTAACCATTAAATCGCTTATTTATAATTACTTTTAAACAATAAAATGGTATGTTCATCTTCGGAATTGTATGAATTTGTATATAAATAAATGATAAACAGATATAATAGTAAGCTAAAAATAAACTGGCTAAGTTGTACGTACCAATTCAATAAACTGCCTAAGTCGAATGTACCAAGACAGTACTTCCAGGTTTGTATTGTACTCTACCTTTGTTTATCTTGTATATGAACATGTGTATAGACAATTAATGACTACTATAATCTTTTTTTTTTTTCGTGTAATGTTAGAAATACTAATACTATCTTTTTTGTGTTTTTTAACATACAATAGTCTTTATTTTTTTTAAAATGTGAATTAAATTATTTCATTGGTGATTTTTTTAAAAACGTATTAATGATAACTAAGTGTGCGTGATGATTAAAATGAAACTTTTCTTCCGTATTTCGAAAATGAATATTATCTATCCATGTAAAGTAACTAGAAAACTCGCATAAAGGTAGACTCTATATGGTAGTTTTAAAAACTGTTTTAATCTAGAATATTATTTAAATATTCCCCCCACCCCCTTAGGTTATCTCTTTTGCATTTCCGAACTGCTAACCATCGTTTCCCAGTAAAAACGGGTCGTTGGAATCAATCTTTTAAACCTCATGAGCAAAGAAAGTGCCACAAATGTAACTCGGGCGACATTGGCGATGAGATGCATTATCTGTTAATATGCCCTTTTTTCAGAACTAAAAGAAGACAGCTAATACCAGAGAGATTCTATATTAGACCAAATATACTGAAATTTAAGGAACTACTTAACACAAATGATAGCCAGACCCTAACAAACCTTAGCTTATATGTTAAATATATCATGAAAAAAATAACGATTAATAACAATTACATGAACTGATTTATGTTACATACCTGGTGATGGTTAATCCTAATTATCCCCATCTTTATGTGTTTGTTTTTTTTTGCTCTTTTTTTTTCCTCATTGTCATTACAATTACACATTTATGAATAGACTGTCTCAATGCAATTTTACAACCGACCAATGAAACTTTACACCTGTTCTATTTATAGATATGTCACGGAAACCTCGTGCTGCAATGTTATTGTTATTGTTAGGTTTTTTCCAGGTCAGGTCGGTTGTACATAGGCCAAAATTAAAATTATTGGTTACTTCATTCATAAATTTTTGACTACCGTATGTTCACTGACTTTTTCCTTTTTTTATTGTTGTTAGCATATTAAGAACTCAAAACTTTGTTTTTTCACCGCTTTCAAATAAATACTTCAAATACTGTCCGCTTTCCCCATCGAATACAGAAACACTAAAACCCAAAACATAATTAATTAGAATACTTTTGACCTGTTGTTACCCATACTAATTATTTATGCTACTCTTCGTTCACATGTTATTGCTTGATACATGTTAAATGTGTATTACGTAATCTGTGACAATTGAAAATAAAGTGATTTGTATTGTATTGTATTGTAACAGTTCAACTTGATGGACTTGATTTAATAGTATGGTAATAACTTTACTTCCTTTTTTCTCTGCATGTTTTGATATGATCAAAATAAACTTTTAAAAAATCATTAGCATTCACAAAAATGACAATATTGTACAATTAAGTATGTGTATGTACTCGAAAAAATAAATACACATAAGTTATTACTACATGTAGCATGTAAATTATGGAGGCTATTCGTTGCCAAAAATCCAGCCTTGTTGATGTTAGTTGAACAGTTTGTTAACGGAGATTAGATAATCAGGTGAGTTTTTTATATAATCATTTAAAAAAGTCCGCTGTTGTTGATTGAATAAAGGCATAGCATAACAATCATGTTTTATCGTTTAACAAAATGATGCAAACTTAATCCAAGAATGCAACATTGGAGTTTTCATACAAAGAAATACAATTGTATTTTGTCCGTTCACAACTGTTGCGATCTAGTCCACTTGTAAGCTCCTTCCAGTTCAAAATAACTATATTAAGAATATCTAAAGACTATCGTCTTACTATAATACATGCACACGTAAGATCAAATCCTTCACACAAGTAGTTCATTAAACGAGGACCTGTTCAGAAGGTATAATAAGGTACAATTACGGAAGAATAGATTTTACCAGTATTCAACAACTTCTTTAACCATGCTAACTATTTGATGCAAACTTAATGGTTAATCATAAGTTTAGAATAGTTAATTTTGATAAATAACCGAAGAAATGGTGAATTTTAGTCATTTACTATAACATGTTTGCATTTACACATTTATTCATTGAAGACGTTTCCTATTTTAAAAACCCTGAATAATGCATTCATTTCTGACAAAAAAGACTTCACTCACAAGCACAAGAATTTAACAATCTCTTGCATTTAAGTCTGCTGAAATGCCTCACTTGTATATATCTTCCTTTTAAATAGTCTGTGAAAGTGAACGGTATGCTGGTGTCATTATTTAAGTCCTGAACTTCAAAATCAAGAGTGCGAATTCTATGGACAATATTTTCTTTCTTATCCCATACGTAAAAGCTTGAATAAACATGATTTTAGGTTATGACACCAGGAAAACAGGAATTTTGACATCACTTACAGCGATAACTACGTAATTTTAAACGTTATTTGATAGTTATTATAAGTAAAATATGCAAGGCTAATAATTCAAAAGCGCATACAATAATCGATGCTTTAACAGTCCTTAGTTTGAAGTATCATAACACGATTACACGACTTTTTCATCAGTTATTTAAATTAAAACAACAGGGTATTTAAGACAAAATTTTATTACTCGTGTGTTACGTAATATTACACAATTGGTACTGCGCATGTTCTCTGTTATTGTGGATAGGCAATCAATGTGGTAAGTGTCAAACAGATGGACATATGAACGGCTGTTTGTTCAACCTGTTTACAATATCATTCAAACGGGACGTTTAAGTAAAAATGCATGCCTAATAACATACAATTATGATAATCGCAATTTAATATATTTTACATATACCTATCTTAGAGATGTTTGGAATAAATTATACAAGTAACAAATAGTGTGGGATGCATCACGGAATTAATAATGCAATAAAAGTCCTTAGATTTTGAAAATATGTTTCGATAAACTGGATGAAAATATGTGTTGATAATTGCTCTTAATTGTCCAAAATTTTGTAAAATTACTTAAACATATATATGTGCAGAAACATAGATAACATTATCTACATCTCTGGTATTTGACGGTCTGGTATCACAGTCAAATCGGATGAAGGATAAAATCAGGCTAACTGATTACTAAAAGCAGTTCATTTCATATGTTTTATAAATATATAAAGTTTTTATATGAACTATTTGAAGAAAAATTGTTCCTGATAATAAATATATTTCCACATTTTACAACAATCAGAAACAAGAAATTTTCAAGTCCGACTAATTTGCAAAGGGAATTCTTAAAAAAAAATATTTCCCATATATTTACAATGCAGTCTTGGCCACAAGGCTATAAACTGGGAAAGGATCTTAGTTTTTTGTTAATAGCTATTTAATATATATTTTTTTTACTTTTAACCTTCAATTAACTCGAAATTGTCTAGTATGAACTTCTACTACATTTCTAGACTATGTAGGGCGATGATCTTTTGCCCGACGCAGACTGCGCATGCGCGAGGAAATGCCATTTCCATTTAAGCATCTAAAGTTGATCTTCTCAACTAATATTCAATTAGATTATAGTTTTTTTTTCAAAATGAAAATTAATCGTTTATCTATATGTACAGCAAACCTGAGCTAGGGCAATGATAGGTCGTGCCTATAACTAGCTTAGAATATTAAGAGTTAAAAGTGTCATTTTAATAAAAAAGGCTTAACTCTTAAACGAGGCGGCCTTGTATGGGTTACCTTACGAAGTCAAATAAATGCTGTTTAAAGTCCGTAAAAGAACAACAATTTATTTTTGTCTTGGTGCCATTTTAGCATTAAGTTTAGAAATAGTAAAAAGCTGTAGCTATATGGTTGCTGACTAGTGGCATTTCGTGTTTTCCCCTCGCGATCATGCCAAGCGAAACGTAGAAAATTAACAAGTTAAAATGGCGGGGGCACGGAGCGAAACCACGCTTATTAGCGGGATGCCGGGCAAAGATCGAGATTTAATTGTAAAACAGCGGGGCCGCGAAGCGAAATATTAATTGTTATAGGGCGCTAATTAGCGTGCTGCTGTTCGCGTCCCTGCCAAATTATTCTTAAAAAGCTCGGCTTTTTGTTCCGCACCCCCGCTAATTACTGTGTTATCGCTCCGCGCAGTTGCCGTGACAAAATTGTAGGTAGTAAAACCAAAACCATATCTAAATAAGATTACGTTAATTAATGAAATGCATTGGATTCTTTCGGTGCCGAGGGCAAGCAAACCAAACATACGCATGAAATGACCCTGGTATATGCTGTTTATTTTACTGTACTTGATTGGTTTGTAACACCAGACTTTCTTGTTCGACAAGTTACAGTACTTGAATAGAAGAGTCTATGTATGTATATACTTGAAGAATTTTAAATCTGCATAACCTTGCCCTAGAGTCTCGCCAAAATCGTGCAATAGATTTTCTATTAATAGAAATGCAAGGAATTGCTTTTTAATTGATAACCAGAAGAGGAAACATGGGCCAAATGTTTCTCAAATGCCTGACGTTATGCAGGCCAAACTATAGATAAGGTCTTTTACTGTGTCAACAAAAAGTCACAAAGAAGACCTTGAACCATCATTTGCAGGCTTAACGTCAAAAGGAAGGGACATATTATTTCACATTCAAATCGATTTTCACTATGATTGTCTGTAAATGTTTAGCGATTACACTTGTTTTCTTTTTCCTTAACGGTGAGTTGCTATGATTTAAAAAACATATGATGAGAATTTACGGTATTTACGGTATGCCTTATTACAATATCAGCAATGCAGACAAATTTTTTAATATCTTTTTAAGAAGAACTTAATTGGCTTTAAATAACAACGTTTTACCTTTACATTGAACATTTTTATATAAGTTATCAAGAAATGTTTAAACATTAAATAGTATTTAAGCATTTTAGACATATTCATGGTGACAGTATTATTTTGCTTAAAGCAGCACGCCTCCAGATTCATGTTATTTTTCATGAAATTTTTGAAATGTAATTAAAAGTAAAATGATGTGAGGTGAACAAATAATTTATATATTGCAATCGGCACTAACAATCCACGGAAATTACCAAAAAGTGGTCAACATATGCAATAAAGCCCTAACTGCGTTAGTGACGCACTAGAAATGTGGTGATAAAATACGGCAAAATCAGTGTTAAAGCGCACATAACATGTAAAATATAACTTGGATCTTAATTTTTTCCCTTTCTTTAAAATTAAGTGCATTTTTCTCAATATTGATTTTCGTGACATATTTTGCACATCTGGAGGCATGTAGCTTTAAAAGACTTTGCATAATTTACTCATAATTATTTACCCACTTACGGAAGCGTATCAGGGCCTACAGTTGGTGAGATGTTTTGCGCTAAGTCGACTAATTTTTATTCGCATTGATAAGATGTTTTTGCATTTCTCAATAAAATTTACTGACAAAGATGAGAAGCTTTTAGGCAATGCAATTGAATTTTTCTAGATATGCTTGAAGCTTTTGTCTCTTCTACAAGAATTCTGTCAAAACTTGATTTCACGACTTTGCTGAAATATTTAATAAGGCTCAATGCGAAATAAAAATAAGTCGACTTAGCGCAAAACATCTCATCAACTGTAGGCCCTGATAAGCTTCCGTATTTTTGCCTTGAGAAAAACATATCGAGAAACGGCTGGGTGAGATAAACGTGTTTTGTTTAATCTTTGTGAATAAAATGAATTGATATGTGGTAAAACGTCAGAATAAATCGAAATAAAATCAATCGACTTACACATCATAATCTCACTTAGCGTAGGTCCTTTAACATTTCTGGATAAAGCAGTCGCTTTCTAATATATCTGATTTCTTACAAATATTGATTTTTATGAAGCTTATAATTATTACACAAGAAAAACACTAGATTTTTATTGTGCTTCACGAATTTTTATGCAAAGTTTCAAATAACAATTGATAAAATATTTTGAAATGATAGATGGCAATATGTACTACTTAATAGAATGGGTACTACGGAAGCTTATCAGGGCCTCCACTTATCTAAAAGTTTCACGTCATGTAAACTTGTTTCTTCTCGTTTTTACCAAAAACATTCCATGAAGACGTTATGATTATTTACGTAATACATAAAACTTTCCATGAAGATGTAATGATTAATACGTAATACGTAGAAGTTTTAAATCATTGCAAAAAAAACTTTGTTGAATTACGTGAGCTATTTGTCAATGCGAGTAACGTCTTTGCGCCTTACTAATATTTCATCAAAGTCGTGAAATCAAGAAGTTTCGACAGGATTTTTGTCGAAGAGACAAAAGCTTCAAACATATCGAGAAAAATTCAGTTGCAATGCCTAAAAGCTTCTCATCTTTGTCAGTTAATTTTTTTGCGAAATGCAAAAACATCTTATCAATGCGAATAAAAATAAGTCGACTTAGCGCAAAACATCTCACCAACTGTAGGCCCTGATACGCTTCCGTAGGGTACTGATAAAAATGTAAAAATGTAGATAAATAAGTTACAATCTCTTTTTTCAAGCAATTCGATTCGGATTTATTAATCAGTTTCATTATTTTAGAAGTATCATGTTTAGAAGAGGTTTCACAGATCGGAAGACGTGCAGAAACACCGCTGGAAATCGAAGTTGTCACCGTGGCCGATTATAGCGTGTTCAATAAGTAAGTCTCCTTGATAATCATCCACACTTGCTCTTTCATTGTTTGTATAATTAAATTAGATTTATTGCACAAGCATAGATAAGCAAGCTTGGAAGTTTTTTCTATGAAAAAAAAGTTGCCTCTAGAAAAGCATACAGTATAAGATATATAAATATGTATTCCAAAAGCAAGCCTAAAATGGTAACCATAATAATGGAATATCTTTCTCATGTTACTATTTAATACGTTTACAGACCAAGTACATATTTCTAAATTCTGGATAAACAAAATATTGTCTTCTTGTTGCATTCTACTTACATACATGAATAGACCAAAGCAAATAGTTCCTCGTGCTCACTTTGCTGTTTTGATGACCCGCATTACTAAATAATCGAGACACATCACAAACAACCTAACACAGACTTTGTCAAGGAAGAGAACATTAAAATAAGCTTACAAAGTTATTTTACAGATGGTATGAGCTGTTGGACCCATCACTTCCTGAGGCAAAAAAGATAGAAATTGCAAAACAAAATCTTACTACATGGCTCGGAACAATGGTCCATACAGTGAGTATAGCTCATTCCTTTGAAAAGTTTCAGTGAAGAATTTTTTTTTTCTTTTTATCTGCCTCTTGAAATACTGGCTTTAGCTACATAAAACTAGATTAACCAACCCGTAACATTGAGGTACCACCTTACCTCATTTTTTAAAATCAAAACAAACATTGAATGAACGCAATTATGTCTAGAACATTCATTTATCAGCAGTATTTCTTGCGAATTAAAATGTTTTAAACTTAAAGGAAACATGTAACAGATAATATATGAGAGAGTGATATATGATACAGAAAAAAATAAATAAAGTTTTTCAACCTACACTATGACTATGAGTATTATTATTGTTGTCTTTCCAAGGCAAACATAGTGTATAAACGACTGGAGGCCCATGGACTTTATATTTCCATAAAGATTGTAGACCTACTCATCATGACTGTAAGTATCATCTTATGTTAATAAATCCAGTTTAACTCGTCAAAACTCGGCATTTCCTGTCACAGTCCGTGTCCTATAAAGATCAAATCATTTTTTCGTTTTGTTTCAAATGTGTTATGACATGTATATTGATCTTGAATAAAGTGTTTCTGTTATAACATTCAAAGCTGCACTGACCTTTGTCATTGTTCTGACGTTATCTGTAGTGACTCAATCCGCTTATTGTTTAATCCTTCAAATATTTCTAAGCTTTAGCCCTCAATTTTGAACTTCTGAAAGCCTTCAAAATTGTGCAAGCCTTGATTATCTTTCTGCCCTAAACTTGGCCTTGTAATTTATTTTGACCTTGATATATTTGTATTTGTAACAAACTTCAAAAGTGTACTGACATTGATCATTTATACAAATGGTCTTGATTTAAGAAATAAATGTCATAATTGTACTGACTTCAAGTACTGCAATGTTTAAGCCATGTGTCATATGACCTTTTGATTCATAATAATGATATTGGGATTTTCAATGTAAATGCCATTGTATGACAATAATAGATAATAAAGACCTTTTCAAGATGGTTCACATTTTAATTACATTATTGCAAATTGGAAAAGATTTTTAACCAGTACTGTTTGTCTATGACAATGTGAGAGTGACATTTTATTTTTTCGTGTACACAGATGTTACCAACAATGATTCAAAAAGGTAAAACGGGTCTTACAGAATTCGATATAACTGAAGAATTGCCAATGAATGGTAAATGTTAGGATAGTAAACTTGCTTAAAATTGGGATTGCATGAAAACAAAAAATCACGAGTTGCCTTTTTTTCTCATCTTTTTTAAGTTTATATCAGACTTTAAAAATATGTCATACATAAGTCGGTATGTAAGTACTTAACTGTTAAAATATATAAAAATTATACCAGTGATAATGATGTGTGCGTAGTATAAGTAGTATCAGTCCAGTGCAAATGTATTTCATCTCAACTCATTTATAAAGAATAACAACAAAATGTCAAGGCAAATAACGATGAAAACATTATGATAACGGATTTACACCGTAATAGTTGACTTGACCGTCACGTCACTCTATAATTATACTTGAGTTTCATTTTATTTGTTACTTTTGTCTGTCATGTTACTTCTGAAAGCGGTGTCACTCTACTTTTAAGAACAGTTATTAAATTTTACCTAGGATATTTAGGCGTATTGAAAGAAAAATGTTGTTGATACACCGTTAAATTAGTCTTTCACCGTTAAATCAGTGATTCTTTGGACGGACGATATTAAGCACACATGTAAGAAAACACTACACAAAGTTAAAACTTCATTCCGTGAACTCGCGCTATAGTCTATGAACTATATTGTGACCTACTAGGTGATTAAACGTGACGGTTGCCATTTAAACTAGGCCAGTATCTGGGTCGCTCCAGTTCTTTATCGCATAATCAAAGAGGGAAAGTCTCGGTTTAAATGACATTCGTCATCTTCGTCCACGTAACAATTTTTATTTTTTGTTGTGTATAGTTCATGCCAAAGCTTTAAAATATATCGAAGCTTGTAAATTAAACAAACAAAACAAAAAAAACATTATCATCCGGCATTCAGAAAATAAGCTCTTTTATATCCAGCTGCATTTGCTCGCATCCCTTATTTAGTAACGTATCATATTTTATAATATAATAATATTATGTATAACTGTATATTATGTATGAACTTAATATATTTTTGGTCATGCTTTTATAATATGCCGAAGACAAAATTCATAATTTCAACAGACTGAGGCAGATTCCGCTTGGACAGAGACTACAAAGTTCAAGGTCAACGACACGTACTTCATTGACCCAGATGTTGTCCATTCACTCTTCAATCCAAAGTCAATAGAATTACAGAAAACCATACCACATGATCATGCCATGTTATTTACAAGGTAATTAATTGTATACGAAAACGATAAACAAATATATTGTCAGTTCTTATCTGATTCTGCGAACCACTTTCCCAGAAAATGAAATGATTAAATGTGTATTATTATACCTTACATGAATGTATTCCTTCTCTATTAATATACGTGTCAGTAGGCCTTTAAATAATATAATATTTAAGATCCGGCCATATATCTAAACTATTGATAAATAATTGTCTCTAGAAGTTTGAAACTTGTGTGCAAGAGAAAGAAAAATGTAATCATCACCATTTCACCTATTCAATTGTATAGTTATAAATATTTCTTTACAGATATACTATGATTCACGGAAAAAATGGTACCAAGAAAATTGCAGGTTAGTTAAAAACCGTCAAGTACGAACATTGTATGACGTCTTGAACTCTACAGAAGACTTTTCAGAAGTGTTCAACATTTGGTCTTAAGTGTTTGGTATTTTTTATTCTGGATTTATACTTCTAGATCGTTGATTTTCTTGGGGTAAGGGTCTATTATGTAGTAAAAGGTAATTTAACGTTGGTTAGACACGAGACAGAGTGCTTTTACAGGTACTCATCTTACAGGTAACGCATATCTCGGTGCTGAGTGTAAGCCAAAAAGCCAGTCAATTGTTGAGGATAGTGAGGAAATGTATACAGCTCAAACAATTGCACATGAACTAGGTCACAGGTATGTTAACTATACATGAACAAGGTCATAGGTACGTTAACTTCAAATGCCTTAATTACTTGTACATAAAAGTTTATGTTGTTGTTGTTGTTTTTTTCAATTTTTATGCACCCCGAGGGATTGCATATAGTCGCCGCTTGTCCGTTCGTCCGTCTCCGACTGTCTGTCCGTCCGCTAATCTTGTCCGGGACATAAGTCTCAACCAAACAGAGATATCAACATGAAACTTTGTAGGTAGATAGATCTGATTGGATAGATGTACAGTGCACAAGAACCATAATTCTGTTTTACCCCATTTTAGAGTTATTGCCCTTTGTTGTTTTACACTTTAAACTTTGTCGGGACATAACTCTAAAACTATGAGCGATATCAACATTAAACTTTGTAGTTAAATAGATCTTATTAAGAACAAGTGCATTGCAAAAAAATCATGACTTTCCCTTGCCTAATTTTAGAGTTATTGCCCTTTGTTCATTTTTTTTTACTTTTAACATTGTCCGGTACATAAAACTATAAGAGATATCAACATGAAACTTTGTAGGTCGATAGATCTCATTGGGGAGAAGTACGGTACAAAAGAACTGTAACTCTTTCTTTCCCAATCTTGGAGTTATTGCACTATTGCCCTTTGCTCATTTTACACTTTGAATTTTGTCGGGACATAACTCTAAAACTATAAGAAATATCAACATGAAACTATGTAGCTAGAAAAATCATATTTAGTAGAAGTGATGTGCAAAAAATAACATAACT